TCACCCCAGGCTTCAATAAATCACACCAGGCCTCAAAACTGTCCAAAACTCCTTTTGTCTTCTAAAAATCCAAAACAGCTTTTCTCTGCTCTCCTCTGCTCTATCACAAGATGCTGTGCATAGGCAAAATGTTACTTTTAAAGGCTAATGAATAGGCTCTGCTCATAGCAGGCCTGAGAAACTGAATCTTATCTCATTCGGTTGCAACATCTTGGACATGCTGAATCACCAGGGCTCCTCGACCCACCCCCTCGGCTTCTCATTCCCCCTTTCCTGGGAAGGGTGCCAAGAGTCCCAAGACAGCTTTCTGTTCATGCTCTCTGTTCATGCTCAGGGGAACACATCATGGGGCAGGACTCCTGAGGGAGGAGAAAGGAGGAGGGAACTGGAAAGGGTATATATAAACCCTGTGCACATGACTGTGAACCCGTGCATGCTTTTGTGGACTATCACACTTGCTCCTTCTACCAGTTCATGGATGGTAGAAATAAACCTTTTTCTCCGAAACTATTCCTTGAGTGTCTGTTGACTCCCACTTCCCTTTCCCAGGCGCAATATTTTTCCCACCCGAGGACAAAGCCTCATAAGGCTACAACAGGTACTACTGCTCCCCTAACATCCTGACAATTAGCTGCTCTTCTTTTAGGAGAAAGAACCTCCCTCTCAATATCTTGAGGAGCTGCAGATGATTTTTTTAAAGGAAGGTTAGCATTGCAAACACTGAAACCCAAAGTTTAGCAGCAGCGTGGTGTGGCTTTCAGGACAGGCAGGTTCCGATCCACCCACTTGACCCATTTTCTCACTTGGTTAAGCAGGTTGCAGCTATGCACCAAAAACTGGTTAGGGTGGAGGTTAGCTAGTCCAAAAGACATACATGGAGGCCCAAGTGCACCTTTTCCATGGAAGGTACATTAATACTTGCAAGACACGTTCCCCTTCTTTGCAGGTTTGGGGAGATCCACAAGGCTTGCATTGAAGTACATCAGCCTGCTCCCCAGTGACTTTGCGGAAGGGGGTGGGATCCAGTTAACGTCTAATTCTGTCTTCTAGCAGAGTACAGCCTTCCCTGACAATCCACACCTTGCCAAGCTCTCTGGCAGAGAAGAGCATTTCCCAACTCTGAAACCTCAGGTTCTTTAACTGGATAATTTCAAGGACTAAGCCAGCAATCTTTTGTACACAGAGAGAATCTGCAACCGAGATAAAGGCTGAATCTGTCAGAAGTAAATCAGCATGGTCCTAAACAGATTGACTCAGGAGTGAGCAGGCCTGCTTTGGACCACAGACAACCATTAAGCCAAAGCAAACACAAGTTGTTTACAAGTTGGGCAAGACCCCACTCCCTGCTTATTTCTCAATTGCACATGACCCACCCAGTTTTCATTAGGCAGTGGGGGGGGGGGGGAAATCTTCAAAGCAACCAGGAAAGGCAAAAGAAAATCTAGTACTTTTCTTTAAAAGGAAAGAATGCCCTAACCAAAGCCAAACCTCAGTCTGTGTTCTACTTTACCAAAAAGGTTTTACAGTCAGAAGACTTAAGATGCCAGTGTAAGTTCACAGCTTTGCAAACAAGAATTTCCCCCCTTTAAATCTTTCATTCACAATGTGATGTTCTTCAGATGTTTTGGAATAAAAACTCCCATTGGTTCCAGCCAGCACCTTGCAGAAGGCTGCTTTAGATAACATGGTTTCAAACCATGGTCCTCCCAAGTGGGTTTCTTTTTAATAGAAAAAAAGGTGTCGGTGCTCAGCATGAAGTTGTTACAGTTAAGTGCTGTACTTCCACTGGCCTCCCTCTACAAAAACCCATTTCAAATTTTGATTTCTAAAACACCCACATTTTTTAAAAAAAACAACATTATGACGTTTTTCATTGGCAGTTCAGTTTAAGAAAGCTATCGACACAAACACAACACATTATTCACTCCTGCCTAGAATGTTAAGACAGAAACACTTTCATTTAGTACTTTAAACCATCCTCACAATGTTTTTTTCAGAAACCATTTCCTTGGAGTTTTCATTCTGGACAGCAGGGGGCACTGCTGTCCTTTTAAGTTAGCCAATGCCGGAATTTGTTCCCCAAACCATTATCCTTTTGTATTACATTTGAGATGTTTTCAAATTCTGCATTTAAAAAACAAGCCCCTGAATGCCTAGCATGCTCAACATCGCAATTTGATGGGAAAACATAAGTGTTGTAAGAAAAATATAGCTCCCTTTCCCTTACGGGATATCCAAGAGCCGATATAGAGTCCTTATGTAAGGTTCTCTATTGGTAGGAGAAAATAACAGAGGCCAACCAGAAAATATTAAGAAGCAAAGCAGCTAGTAAGCCTGATCTTTATTAACTGTTGCAACAGGGTCCCCCACTGCCCCCCCCACAGGGAAGGAGGAACCCAGAACATTGCTGTGCAAGCTCCTATATAGACTTTTGAAATTGCCTCCCCTGTAGCTCAAGACCACCCACCAAAACATCATACATACATCACAGAAAGAGGTGGTCCCCAGCCCAGCAGAAATTGGAGAGTGTTGCTTCAGTCCTGTCAGCCAGGATACCTGATAATACCTTATTTGATTGCTTTTTCTGGGTAGCCTGGCCATTCCTTTGAGATGGTAAATAGTTCCTTAATCTTTTACACATATCGATAGCGTGCTCAGCTTAACAGATACTTGCCAGACTGTATTTACAGGGAGGTGTAAGCCCCTACAGTCCAAAGACAACTAGAAAGCTTTTCCCACTTCCTTCCTCCTTGCAGAGAAATATTTGTTTTTTTTAATAATATTTTTATTAATTTTCATCAAGAAAAATAGATATACATTACAACTTAATAATTTTTTTCATTTTTGGACTTCCATCAGCCTTTCTGACAATCATCCGAATTAATCTTTTTAATTATACATTTCCTATTGCCTTTTAACCTACCCTTCCACCCCTGTTTTTCTTTCTTACAATATTTCTTGAGTTTTTACTGAGCTTCTTTAAATGCCACTAACGTTATTTCATTATCACTTATACATCCCCAGTACTCCTCTAGTTTTCCCCAGTCCTCGATAAACTTTTGATCTCGTAGGTATCTGATCTCCCCTGTCATTTTATCAAGCTCTGCATAGTCCATCAGCTTCATTCTCCATTCCTCCAACGTAGGTACTTGTTCCTGTTTCCATCTCTGGGCCAGTAATATTCTTGCCGCTGTTACTGCATACTGGAAAAGTTTACAATCCTTTCTATTTATTTCAAAGAAATATTTCAGTGAGCAGAGAAATATTTGAGGTCAATTTGGGAGAGTCAAAATGGCTCAGGATTGTACTCCCGTACTATTTCAGGCACATGGTTTATATACGCACCATATTTTTCGCTCTCTAAGACGCACCTGACCATAAGACGCACCTAGTTTTTAGAGGAGGAAAACAAGAAAAGCTTGGCACAGCTCTTTAAAGATAGAGCGGTTCTTGCTGGCTTTTCCGGGAGGTGGGAGAAGGGACTGATGGGCTGCCCTCCATCTCTTCTCCCACCACCTGGAAAAGTCAGAGCAAGCTGCGCAGCTATCTCCGAAGCCAGCACAGCAAGGGGAGAGCTGTGCGCCTCTAGTTGTGCTGGCTTCTCAGCAAAGCAGGATGAGGGACGGAAGGGAGCGCAGCTCTTGCTCTTGCTGTGCTGGCTTCAGAGATAGCTGTGCAGCGCCTCTTCAGCGAAGCGGGAGGAGGAACGGAAGGGGCTCTGTGTAAGGGCTCCCTTCTGTTCCTCCTCCTGCTTTGCTGGGAAGCCAGCAGAACAAGAGGCGCTGCGCAGCTCTTGCTCTGCTGGCTTCAGCAAGAGCTGCGCTGCCTGCACTCGCTCCATAAGACGCACACACATTTCCCCTTACTTTTTAGGAGGAAAAAAGTGTGTCTTATGGAGCGAAAAATACGGTATGTGTTTGCCTTGTACATTTATGAGCATTTATTTTATATATATATGTGACCTTAGAATTCCTATAGGTAAAGGTAAAGGTACCCCTGCCCATACGGGCCAGTCTTGACAGACTCTAGGGTTGTGCGCCCATCTCACTCAAGAGGCCGGGGGCCAGCGCTGTCCGGAGACACTTCCGATGGCCACGTGACCCGGAAGTGTCTCCAGACAGCGCTGGCCCCTGGCCTCTTGAGTGAGATGGGGGCACAACCCTAGAGTCTGTCAAGACTGGCCCGTACGGGCAGGGGTACCTTTACCTTTTTACTCAATGATACACAGTACTGGCACCTATGATTTCAAATGTTAAAAGCGTGGCACTTACTGTAACAACTTCATGGAGAGTACCGGCACCCTTTTTCAAAAAGAAAAAGAAAAAGTACTGGCCCTAATATAGATTTTGGGATCTGAGAGCCAGTGTGGTGTAGAGGTTAGAGCAGTGTTTCTTGATCTTGGGCCACCAGCTCTTGTTTGACTACAACTCCCATCATCCCTGGCCACTGGTCCTGCTAGCTAGGGATGATAGGAGTTGTAGTCAAACAACAGCTGGGGACCCAAGATCCAGAAACACTGGGTTAGTGTGTTGGACTAAGACCTAGGAGACCAGTGTTCAAATCTCCAAAATGGAGAAAAGTCCTCCACAACGATGTGAGAGACTGATGAAGTCACACAGAAAACAAGAACTTTAAGTTATTGCTGCTAAAGGTGGTTCTACAAGCTGCTGAATCATAAGGCGTGCTTAGTTTTTCACACATGGCTTCTCTATTTTGGATTTATTTCTGTCAAATCATGACGTGGTGTAGTAGGTCATTTGTTGTTGTTGTTCATCAGAGGTTGTGTATACCTAAGACCTGCTAAGGAACAGCTTGTTGTTATTACACTGACATATGTAAAACCACAGAATTCAAAGAGGGTGTACTTTCCTTTTCCCATGACACACACAAAAATTACACACACACATTTTTTTCCTTACAGGCCTACACAGCTTCCTCTCCTTTTCTGTCAGACCCAAGGTCCATCCCACAGCGCTATGAAATGAGTCACAGAGGCAAGCTTCTTCTAAACGGATTTCTGTATTAGCCAATTACTTATAAATACATTTATTACAGTGAGCAAATCTGTGTATGCAGGGAGAAACAACGAAAACAAAACCATCAGCTACAGCGGAGACCCTGCAAAGATCCAAGGAACTTGATCAGGAAAGGCAGAAGCCTACAGGCCACAGTCAGGCAGAAGGCCTGGAGGGAGGGCCAGGGCAGGCAGAGGAACAGGGGCAGAGAGGCAGGTCCCCGTGCTCTGCCATTCAGGGTGGCACACCCCAGGAGAAAGGCCTGTCTCAGAATCAAGCTCTAAGGCAGCCTGGGCCAACCGGGCATTCTCCAGATGTTTTGGACCACAAACCCGTACCAGCCCCAGTAGCGATGGGAGTTGTAACCTAAAACACCTGGAGGGTACTTGACTGGCAAAGGCTGTCAAAGGGAACTAAATACACAACAGTGAATGAAGCAGAAACTTAGAGCACCTTTAAAAAACAAACAAACCTGCCTCATAGTTTTGGGGTTTTTTAAAAGCCACTTGTGGACAAACGTCTCCTCTCCAAAGTGTTCACAGGAGACTTGGATGCCTTCACAATGCCCACCCCTGCTTTTAAAGGGGAATACAGGCATTTCCCCACCCCAAACATTAATTACTAAGAAAATCTCTATACAAGGAGCATCCCCCATAGGGCTTCTGGGGCTCCCCAAACCCATTCTGGCCAACAGGGAACGCTGATCCCTTCCCCCAAGCAACCTTCGTCAACACTGTCACCTAATGGAGATGGGAGTGACCCAACCAGGTCCCTCAAGGAGGCTGTTTGGGAAGGAGCAGCTAAAGGCACGTTGGGAATCAGAACCCTCCAGGGAGAGAGGAAGGGAATCTTAGCAGCTGCCAAGCACAGATAACAGGAGTTGCATCTCAAACAGTTGTTGGCACCAGTATCTGCAGGCTGGAGTGGGGGGGGGGTCAGCGAGTCCCAGGTGAATTTGGAAACGTAGGGAGTGTGGAAACGAAGCTCTTAAGGTCTGGTGGCAGAGATTCTTATTGCCCTGAGGCTAAAGAGAGAAGGAGCTGGTGAAGAAGGAAAGGGCAGTCTAGGGAGGGGAGTGTGTCTGTGTGTTCTGAAGGAGCAGTCAAGGACCCTGATGGCTGTGCTCAGCCAAGGGCCTTGTGGTTCCGATAGTAATTTTGAGGACTAAGAGAAGCAGGGGCAGACAGGAGCCAGGGTTGGAGTGAGCCGAGAAGATCCAATGCCAGGAGGAAGAGAGTTAGGTTGGGATGACACCCGTGGCAAAGAGAATGATCAAGATCAGGATGATGGCCACAATGACACAGATGATGATGATCATCTTGGCATTCTTCCACCAGTACTTGCGTGCCACCTTCTGTGAGGTTGTCTTGAAGTGTTCCGACTACAATGGAGAGAGAGAGAGAGAGAACTGTGAACACAGGAAGAGAGAGAGACCCCCTCAACCACACACCAACCCATGTGGGACGGGAAAGGTCTCCTCACAAAAAAAAAAACAAGAATTAAGAACGTGAGATGAGTCCTGCTGGATCAGGCCATGGCCCATCTAGTGCAGCATCCTTCTCACAGTGGCCAATTAGGTGCCTGTGGGAAACCTGATAGCAGCACTCTCCAGGTGCCAGTTACAGCGCTATGAGAGACGGAGGACAACCTTCCTCCATGCCAGCATCATTTATACAATTCTATCGTGTCACCGTTTCGCTCAACTTAGAAGTCCCAAACACTGCAACCTTTTCCCCCAGGGGAGTTGCTCCATTCCCTTTATCAGTTGCTTGCCTTTTCCTGGAGCTTTTCCAACTCCGCAAAACCCTTTTTTGAGGAAAGGCAGCCGGAAGTGAACATAGTATTCCAAATGCAGTTGCACAACAGATCTGTGTAACTGCATCAAGTTACCAGCAGTTTTATTTTCAGTTCCTTTCCTAATTTCTCTAGCATGGTACTGGGGTCCCAATATAGGTCAAACCCAGCAGTTACAAATTTGGCACAGAAATGGGACTGGCAGCCAAGCTATAATCATTGTGATGTGTTCAGAACGCCTAGTCCCAGTTATTAAACTGGCCACCTCGCTGCGGTTTCCAGTCATCAAAGGCAGCCCAACGCACAATGCATGGCAGTAATCTATCTGCTGTTTGCATCTTCTGCAGCTCTGTCAGGCCATCGACAGCAGCCATTCCATCAGGCTGCTGCGAGAGAGATGGAACTGCAGGGCCTCTCCATCAGCTCTGCTAAGAGACTGGCAAATGCTTGGCTCTGCTCCAAATTCTTTTCATTCCTGCTGCTCAAGACCTCCAAAACTAAGGATTAGTGCTTGTTTCCCCCTCCCCTCGACCTGTTTCCTTTTGGGTTGTAAGCCTGAGGCAATCTTCTCGTTTATATTTGTAAGCTGAGCTTGAGAGCACTTTTTGTGTGTGTTGAAAACCGGGATAAAAATGCCAATAAAATAATAATTAGCAAGCGTGTCTCTGTGTTGAAAGTGTCTCTGGAATTCTGTAAATATTTTATAGTTAATATTTTTATTCTGCTGTTGTATTACCCATCCTGGGAGCATTTGTTGAAGGGCTGGATAATAAATTGAAATAATAAATAATAAATAAATAAATAATAATAATAATAATAATAATAATAATAATAATGGCAGCTCATGGCACCCTGTTTCGATCAGGTACCCCCAATTAAGGCTGCTGAGCAACTTTCCAGCCACCAAACCCAGGTGACAGATTCAATAGCCAGCTAAAACCTTGCACATTCCTGTGCGCTAGTCTTAGGTGGTACGGCCAACTGCTCCGCCTCATTCCAGGAAACAGCTTAGCAAGTTGTAAATACCAAAGGTAGAATAAAGGGCAGAGGGTGGTTTGGGCCTTCCTGGGCTGCTCAGGGATTAATCAGCCACACTACAAACAGCTCCACCCTGTCCACTATGCCCCTTAGACACAGGACCTCTGGTGCGCTGCCTGAAAGGAGCTGGGCCTTGTGCCTCGCCCACCCTCTGCCTCAGCACCCACAGGCTGGTCACACAGACCAAATTGTGCCAGATTCTGACTTTTGAGTCAGAGGAGATCTCAGTTTAGAAGAGCCCAAATTGGCAATGATAAAAGGACAACTGGGATCAGCTGCGCACCATGGAGAAAACCTGCATGTTAATTTCAGAGCAGCTGGGAAGAAAATGTGCTGGGTGCAAGTCCCTCTCTGCGGTAAGGAGGGATTTTAAACCCCGTCCCAACAGGACAGGCGTGCAGGCTACTTGCAGGGAAAATCACACTTGAAAGCCAAAGGAACTAAACATTTCGCCCGCTCTGAATTCTGAGCAGTGGTTGGGCTGAGGCACTGTTATCCGTGGATAAGGAGGAGGAGTTTTAATTTGCAGCAGAAACACTGTGAAGGCAAAGAATGCCTCCGTTGGCTGTACAGTGGGCTACAAACACACGTCTAAATACACCTATAGAGTTAGAACATGCTTGCCACTTGCAACATCCTTGAACTTGTGTGGAAAACCAGAGGATCACACCAAGTCACACCTTATGGTTCTGATGGCACTATTGCCAGAGCCCCAGCAATGCTGAAAAAGCCCCTGCTCTATCCATGAGCAACTTCCCCTTCGAGCTGAAGCTCTCAAGCTCAGAGCAAGTTTGCTGAGGGCAGGGGGTCTGCACCCTCCAGATGCCTCCTCCCATCATCCTGAGGCAGCATGGCCAATGGTCAGGGATTATGGGAGCTGTAGTTCAGCAAAACTTAGACAGCCACAGGTTCCCTGTCCTTAGGCCTAGGTCTGTGTTTCTAACTGGAAAACATCTTTCCTTCCAATGGAAACTTGCAGATGTGGCCCAAGCAGAGATAACCAGATGTACAAATGTAAGATGGGGGACACCAGGCTGGCCAGTAGTACATGTGAAAGGGATCTAGGGGTCTTAGTAGACCACGAGCCTAACGTGAGTCTGCCCAGGAATGGAAGAGTACCACTTTACTCTGTCTTGGTCAGATCTCACTTGGAGTTTTGTGTCCTGTTCTTGACAGCAGTTTAAGAATTGTATTGACAAGCTGAAACATGTGCAGAGGGAGTGACCAAGAGGATCAAGGGTCTTGAAATCAAACCTTATGAGGAACAGTTAAGGTAGCTGGGTATCTCTAGCCTGGAGAAGAGAACATTGAATCGAATCATAACATTGTGGCGTTGGAAGCGACCAAGAGTCCAACCCCACAATAACCAGGAATAACCATCTTTAAATATTTAAGGGGCTGTCCCATGTTAGATGGAGTGAGATTGTTTTCTGCTGGTGCAGAATGAAGGACCCAGACCAGTGGACCCAAATTACAAGAAAGGAGATTCTAACTAAACATTAGGAATAACATTCTCTCTCTTTTTTATATTAGATAGAATACGCGATGTTATAACCTATATGATACTTACCGAAGAGACGGAGGTGGATGGATAAATGTATAATGAGTGTATGTATTCTATGTGTATATGTAATAATGAAAATCAATAAAAACTGAATAGGAATAACTTTCTCACGGTAAGAACTGCCTGACAGTGAACAGACTCCCTCGGAAGATGGTGGACTCTCCTTCATTGGTTTTGAAACGGAGACTGGATGGCCATCTGTCAGAGATTCTTTAACTGTGATTTCTGCATTGCAGGGGATTGATCTAGATGACCCTTGGGATTCTAGGAACTACCATCACTTTCCCCAATGCTTGCTTGGGGACTCTGCTCTTCTCTACCAAGTCACTAGGCAAGTCCCCCCACTCTTCAATGAAAGGAGCTTGGTGGCCTCCCGTGAAAACCTCACCCCCTTCGACTCTGCTCAGAGCACAAGTCTCAGAACCTACCGTCGCTTCCAGGTCCTCCGTCTTGTTGCGCAGGTGGTCCAGGTTCTCTCCCCTTGCCAGCATACGCTCCACGTTCTGCGTCATGATGTTCTTGACGCCCTCCACCTCACTCTGGAGGTTCTTCACCTTGTCGCTTGCCATCCCAGGGGCGCTTCCACCCTCCTGGAGGGAAGAGAAGGAAGGAAGGGGGCTTAGGATGGAAGACCTGGGTCAGCCACGGATGTTGGCAACCGGAAGAAGGAAATCCAAATGGAGCTCCCAGCGTCCCACACACCAACAAATATGGGACGGGGAAGGTCTTCTGCACAACCCTCACAAAACATAAACAAGAATGCACTTGAGAAACCCACAAGGAGGACCCAAGCACAAGAGCAACTCTCCCTTCCTGTGGCTTCCAGCAACTGGTCTTCAGAAGCATTGCTGCCTCCAATCGTGGATGCAGAGCAGTCATCCTGGCTAGTGCCCATCGATAGCCCTCTCCTCCATGAATTTGTCCAATCCTATTTTTAAGCCATCGAGGTTGGTAGCCATCACCGCCTCCATTGACAGACTGTGCAAGGTTGATCCAGGGGATTGTGAATGAAGGAGCTGCTGACTACCTAGGCCCCTGTTCAGAAAAGATCTCTGTTACACAACTGCCAATATCATAATGCCTTTATACATATCTATGGTTTGACTGCCCTTAGAATACTGTAAACAGCTCTGGTTGCCACACCTCAAAAAGGGACATTGTAGAACTGGGTAAGGTGAAGAAAGGGGCAACCTGATGATCAGGGGGCTGCAGCAAATTTAACTTCCCAAGGAAGAAAGGGAACATTTTAGGAGTTTTAGTTTAGGACTAAAAAAAATGTGAGTAAGGGGCAGGGGGACAGGACAGAGGCACATAAGATCATGCATAGTGTGTGGAGAAAGTAGACTCTGTTAGAACCCAAAGAAATCATCTAATGAAATGGAATATTGGAAGATCCAGGACAGAAAGAAAAAGAAGAAGAAGTAGCACTTATCACAGAATCCGCAGTATGCAAGGATGGCATATGGCCTCATATGGCTTTAAAAGGGGTCCAGACAAATAAATATAGGATAAGGGTATCAACAGCTACTAGCCATGATGGCAACGTGCTTCCTCCACTGTCCAAGGCAGAATGACAGTTCCTGGGAGCCTGAAGTGGTGAGAGTACGACTGTAGCACTCAGGTTCTGGTCGCAGTCTTCACATTGGGCCATCTGGCTGGCCAATGCAAGAACAGGATGCTGGACTAGACCCCTTTGGCCTGCTCCATCAGCCAGGCTCTCCTCCTATTCTTAACAGGGCACGCAATTTGCCACTACAGTGGCTGCTCATGCAAATGCCACTTGTGCAAGCGCAAAACAAGAACCAACAGACCAAAGAGGAAGAGAGCTCAAATTAATCCATTGGCCTTGCACCAAGACACATTCTGAAAATAGGAACCAAGTCTGATCAGAAGAGCAGGCTTTGGTCGCACAAGAGAGGCCACTTTCACCCTGCCTGCCTGGGAGTGACGCGGCGGCTTGGGCGCCCACGGACTCCGCACTGCCCCAAACAGCCCTGCCCGCCACCTCCCCCTCAGCTGTAGGACGGTTGAGTGGGAAGAGGCAGGCAGGCTCCTCGAAGGCCCCGTGGAGCGTCCTGCCCCGGCTCGCGCCGCCCACGGGCACAGGGCATGCCCACCACCCCAGGTGCCCGATCGGCTTGCTCCACCGCTGTCTTCAGCCCAAGCATCGCATTTCCTCGAGGGCAACTTTTTGCACCATACAGGTGCTGTGACATTAAGACTGTTAAAACCATAATGTATTTTTACATTATTAGAACATTACAAAGAGCTGGGCTGCTGGATGAGGCCAAAGGCCCATCTAATCCAGCATCCTGTTTTCAGTTGGTCAACCAGGTGCCCCAATGGAAAGCTTGCAGGCAGGACCTGGTTGCCACAGCGCTCTAGCCACAGCGCTCTAACCCAGCGGCCAGTATTCAGAGGAACATTACCTCTGAAAGTGGGGAGAACATAGGAATTGTGACTGGGAGCCATCGCTCGCCTAATCCTCTTTGAAAGCCATCCAAGTTGCTGGCCATTACTGCACCTTGTGGGAGCAAATCCCATAGTTTAACTATGGACTATGTGAAGAAGTAGGGGACGCGGGTGGCGCTGTGGGTAAAACCTCAGTGCCTAGGACTTGCTGATCGCATGGTCGGCGGTTCGAATCCCCGCGGCGGGGTGCGCTCCCGTTGCTCGGTCCCAGCGCCTGCCAACTTAGCAGTTCGAAAGCACCTCCGGGTGCAAGTAGATAAATAGGGACCGCTTACTAGCGGGAAGGTAAACGGCGTTTCCGTGTGTTGCTCTGGTGCCGGTTCGCCAGAGCAGCTTCGTCACGCTGGCCACGTGACCCGGAAGTGTCTGCGGACAGCGCTGGCCCCCGGCCTATAGAGTGAGATGAGCGCACAACCCTAGAGTCTGGCAAGACTGGCCTGTACGGGCCTTTACCTTTATGTGAAGAAGTACTTTATTATATATTAATTATGCTATATTATGTACAATTCATATTAATTAAAGCACAGGAGGAACTCAGCATTATTAAAAACCCCACGAAAATGCCAGGAGTGTTAGACAAGGCCAAACAGATAAACAATACTTGTCTCAAGGAAGAGAAACCATTCGTCATCCTTGTTCACATAGATGTTGCAATCCCGGTATCACCAGATTCACGCAAGAGTTCCACAGAGTTGTTTCCTCAGAAATTATCAGAGTCAGATGACTAAACTTGGGGATAAGAAAGCAAAGACAACTAACCTCCAGAAGTGGAGATTGCAGTCACCCAGGGGTGCCATCTCACCCTCAGGATTGTGGGTGCTCACCACCATAACGAGGACGTGCGACATCACACACACAGACACACTCGCACGCAAGCACAATGCACAAAGTTGCATTGCGCTTTTGGTGGGGGGCTCCTCCTCCTTGCAGCCAGCGAGGCCCCCTTTTCCGTGGGGAGGGGCTCAGACATGGAGGCAGAGTTTCTCCCTCTGCGCCCCACCTCCCTGGAAAAGGGGGCCTCACTTGCTGGCTGCAGAGGGTGGGGCTGAACTGCTTCTTTCTCAGAGGCAGAACCGCAGAGGCTGGTTGGCTGCCTCCCTCTGGTTTTGCTCACTGACTTTGTGGGTGCCCAGCCCCCAAAATTATATTATTGTGGGTGCCCAAGCCCCCACAGCCCCTGGAGTTGGCTCCTGTGCAGTCACCGGAGCCACAATTTCTGGACACCACAACATACGTCTTCTGAACTAATGCAGAGATGCAATGGGCAGCCTCCACTGACCTGGTAATTACTGATTCTATTTTATTTCATTACTATTGTATAAAAGAACCAATTACCAGTTATGACAGACCGTGTAATGATCGGAGCGGAAATCACAGCTGTACTCAGGATGCCACCTTTCCTATTAACCACTGTGTCACTTTTCTATAAAAAATAATAACCATTTTAGGGAATAGAAGCCTATTATATTATTTGAGGCTCAGTTTTTCTAACTGTAATTGCTGCCTTCAATATACTTGTTGTGGGACTGACTCATCAGTGTCCTGCTTTGGGGGCTGTATCCTACCAAGTTATAGCAGACCCACAGAACCTAGTGGAGCTTAGTCATGTGCATTTCTTTCAATAGGCCTACTCTGAGTACAGGTAACATTGGCTGAAACCATTTAGTAGGAAGTCGGATAAAACAAATGTGGACAGATTTTATTTCAGATGTCCTAGAGTCACTGGAATTTGATTTCCACATCTCGCTGGCCTGAAGTCTTTTAAAAACAGGTTGTACCACCTGGTTGCAGGCAAGAAGGCTTGGGGACAGCCAGGTTTGGTGGTGAATTCTATAGCAAAGAGCGAAAACGCCACAGCTTAAGGACAGCAAACGCCTGCTTCAACACATGAAACCATTCTGTATCTTCTGAAACCAATCCTGAAAAGTAGAGACCAAAGGACTCCAGCTCAAGGTCCAGACACATCTAAGGATGTTGGCAGCCGGAGACACTGAAACGGTGCTCCATCCTACCTGCCCCTGAGCCTGCTGCCAAGTCAGCGCTTCTGGAGAAGCTGCAGCGAAGAACCAGGAATGCTGTGCAGGAAGGCACCAGAGGTCTTGAGCAAGTCCCCAGCAGAAGTGACACATACTTTCCACTGGGAATGCAGAATATGCCAAGCATCCCCCAGAACCAGCAGAGCCGCTCTGCGGTCAACAGCCTGGCATCACAAACACAGCTTAGACCAGGTCTGAGAAGTCTCTCTCTCTCTCTCTCTCTCTCTCTCTCTCTCTCTCTCTCTCACACACACACACACACACACTCACACACAACCACACACACACAGAGAGAGAGAGAGAGAGAGAGAGAGAGAGAGAGAGAGAGAGAGAGAGAGACTTCTCCAACCTGGGGCCCTCTAGATGTTCTGGACTGTTGTTTCGTTCATCCCCAGCCCAGAGTTGCTTTAGTGGGAAGTAACAGAATCACAGAGTTGGAAGGGACCCCAAAGTCATCTAGTCCAATGCAGGAATCTCAGCTACAGCATCCATGACAGATGGCCACCCAACCTCTGTTTGAAAACCTCCAAGGAAGGTGAGTCCACAGTCTCCCGAGGGAGACCGTTCCACTGCCAAACAGCTCTTACGGTCAGAAAGTTTTTTCGAATGTTTAGTCGGAATCTCCTTTCTTGTAACTTGAAGCTATTGGTTTGAGTCCTACACTCTAGAGCAGAAGAAAACAAGCATGCTACCACTCTCCATGTGACAACCCTTAAGATATTGAAGGTGGCCATCCTATCTCCTCTCAGTCTCCTCTTTTCCAGGCTAAACAAACCCAGCTCCTTCAAGAGGTCCTCACAAGGCTTAGTTTCCAGACCACATTGGTTGCCCTCCTCTGCACACCTCCCAGCTTGTCAACATCCTTCTTAAATTGTGCCTGACTTGGTTAAAAAACTTCTTGATGATGTTTGTGTTGTTATTTTTGGAAAATTAAAAAAATGTTATTTTAAAAAAATCCTTCTTAAATTGTGGTGCCCAGAATTTGACACAGTATTCCAGGTGTGGCCTGGCCCAGGCAGAATACAGGTGGCACTATTATTTCCCTTGATCTGGACACTAGACTTCTGTTGATGCAGCCTAGA